CCCAACATCTATACAATGTCATATGGCCGGGAGAAACTGTAACTCAACCTCGAGGATGGGTGTTCCCACATAATGGAAAGCCTCTGCAAATTGCTGTGCCTTACCGTGTTACTTTTAAAGAGTTTGTGCATAAAGATAAAGGACCTTCTGGGGTAAAAGGATATTGCATTGATGTTTTTGAGGCTGCCATAGATTTGTTGCCTTACGCCGTTCCTCATGTCTATATTCTGTATGGAGATGGCAAGAGAAACCCCTCTTTCAAAAATTTGGTGAATGACGTCGTAACAAATGTGAGTTCTTGATTGTGTTATCCATTTTTTTTCATTGACTAATTATGATGGAATAATTTGATCAGACCGACTTAATATCTCTTTAATTTACATTTGTTTACTAGTTACCACAATAGGAATATTAATTAATTTTGAATGTGATGCTGAAACATTTTTCATGGTTACTTATATAAGGATACATTTTGCATCTTAGAAATATGATGCAGCTGTTGGAGATGTCACGATTACTACAAACCGCACAAGGATTGTGGACTTCACACAACCTTACATGGAATCTGGACTCGTCGTAGTTGCTCCTATCAAAGAGCTGAAATCCAGTCCATGGGCTTTCCTTCAGCCATTTACCCTCCAAATGTGGTGCGTAACTGGGGTCTTCTTTCTCTTCGTTGGAACTGTCGTTTGGATTCTTGAGCATCGACATAATCCTGAATTCCGTGGTTCGCCAAGGCACCAACTTGTTACAGTTTTTTGGTTAGTAACTCAATCTAATAACCTCTTGTTGTAGAATCAAATGCATGCTTTATGTGAAACTTTGCATCACTGAATGTTCTGGAAGGAAGTGCCTTGACGTGGAACAAGTGCTGGCTGCATTGTCAATTCATCTATTTGGAATTACAAGTCTAAACAACGGCTTTGGAGATAAATAGAGAATTTATTATTAAGAACATTTGCATTCAATCATAACATAGTTGACACTGGTGCTAAGATTCGGTTTTCTCTTTCAGGTTTAGTTTCTCAACAATGTTTTTCGCACACAGTACGTACATCCTCTTCGATTTGTTTTTTTTAAGATCTTCCATATTGTGACAGACAGCTTGTCCTAGCATAGCTGACACTGTTCCTTGTGTGAACTAATAGGAGAAAACACAATGAGCACCTTGGGACGCTTAGTGCTGATCTTTTGGCTCTTTGTCGTTCTAATCATCAATTCGAGCTATACAGCTAGCTTGACATCTATCCTGACAGTGAGGCAGCTGTCATCAGGAATTCAAGGAATTGACAGTTTAATTTCTAGTTCTGATCCAATTGGAGTTCAGGATGGCTCATTTGCCTATAACTACCTCATTGAAGAGCTAGGTGTTTTAGAATCACGGATCCGTATATTGAAAACAGAAGATGAATATACCAGTGCCCTGGAGAAAGGTCCGCAAGGTGGTGGCGTTGCTGGCATTGTGGACGAGCTTCCTTATGTTGAGCTCTTCTTATCCAACAGCAAATGCGTATTCAGGACAGTAGGACAAGAGTTCACGAAAGGCGGATGGGGCTTTGTAAGTTAATCTTTTCCTTTGCATTACTGAACAGACATCAAGTTGCCTATCGGAAACAGCCTCTCTGCCTTCCAAGGTAGGGGTAAGGTCTGCGTACACTCTACCCTCCCCATACCCCACTTGTGGGATTACACTAGGTTTGTTGTTATCGTTGTTGTTGTATATGCACACACAATCCAATCTATTCGAGCTGATCTTCACTATCCATGATCAGGCATTTCAAAGGGACTCTCCTCTGGCTGTTGATCTATCAACTGCAATCCTTCAACTGTCAGAAAACGGCGAACTCCAAAGGATCCATGACAAATGGCTCTCTAAAAACGGATGCTCTTCACAAAGCAACCAAGCTGATGATACTCAACTTTCACTCAAAAGCTTCTGGGGCCTATTTCTCATATGTGCTGTTGCTTGTTTTCTTGCTCTTGTTGCATTTTTCTGCAGGGTATACTGTCAATTCCGGAGGTATGACCCCGAGCCAGAAGACCAAGAGATCAGTGAACCTGAATCTGTACGTCCTAGTAGGCGTACACTACGGTCTGTGAGCTTTAGGGACTTAATAACCTTTGTTGACAGAAGAGAAAGTGAAATTAAGGATATACTCAAGAGGAAGAGTATTGACAGCAAGAAACATCAAGGTCAGAGCTCAGATGCGCAACCAAGCTCGCCTGTTTGAATCAACGATTCATTCGTTGGCTTGCTTGTTTCTTGCTCAGTGCAATGTGCCTATGGTTAATATGTAAATGATGCATACGTAATTCCTCGTCGAATAACCTTCATTTCAATTTTTCACACACACAAGGCTAGGTATGTTAGAAGGGGAAAAAAATGTCTTTGTATACTAGTAGGAGAGAAAAGAAAATGGTAACATTTGTACTAATTGTCATATAATGATAGTAATTGTTAAGATTTAGATCAGTTTGCTTGCTTTTCCAGTAAGTTTGTCTGATGTTCAGCTACTACTATTAGATAGCATAGGGAAGAACAACCCAATTTGTTCAATTTTTTGATTAAGTTATAACATAATGTTGGTGAAGTACATATGTTTGAACCATTAGCTCAAGTTAATCATATAAGACCTTCCCAACAAAAGCGACTCGAGGACTTGAACCTAAGACCTTTGGTAATACTGACTTTGATGACTAGAACCCGCATTCATAAGGTCAGAGATGGTGGGTGAGACTCAAACCTAAGACATTTGCTAATACTGAATTTGATGACTAGGCTAGATTTTTTTTTGGGAGAAATGTCAAAAATCCACTTTTCAAGCCTTAATCAATACTCCCTCTGTCCCAAAATTTTAAGCGTCGTCTTAATAAATAAAAAATTGTCCTAAAATAAGTGTCACCTTAGAAATTCAAGACAAAATTAGTACATTTTTTCAATTATAACCCTGACGTACTCCATCTTTATAATAATGTTCAATTTTCAAGAGACATAGTCTAGTAAACTATACATGGCCTTTATTGATTTCTTGATGAATGTGATTTTTACTAAAACAACACTTATTTTGTAATGAACAAAATACAATACTTATTTAATTATTATTTCATAACTATTTAACATTTAACCTCATCTTAATATGTCAATAAAATTAAGATAAAAATACCTCTAGCTAGCTAAAACATAAAAGAACAAAAAAGAAGTTCTCATAGAGTTTTAAACTGTCAATATTTTATTCACTTATCTAATTATTTAATTTGCTTATACTGTCCTCCTACTAGCTTATATTATTTCTCAATTTGATAATTAAACACTATATATTAAAAAGTAGAGCTCCCCACGAAACATAAACATGTGTGCACGCACATGGTACATCAGTAGAAGCATAATAATAAAATTCCTCATTAGTGAATTATGGGCATAAAGAATAAAGAGAAATGACAAGCACTAAACTAAATATGTAAACAAAAAAAGGGAGATGAATATATATAAAGATGTTTTAACGAATCAATGCCACTCACATGCAATTTTTTAAATTAATTTTTTTTTCTTATCTAAACCTGTTAGATTATGTAATGTCAAATTGCCAGACAATTTCAAACCCAACCAATATATGTTTATAATAGATTAATTAATATAAAATTAGTTCAATGTCTCTTCGTTAGGTTTCGTAAGGGGACACATGGAGAATCAAATTATATTACATGTAGACATGTATTTAATAAGAATTTTTAAAAACTTATGTTTAACTACATTCTGAATATTTTTTCAAAAATTATATAGATCTTATACGGAATCATATTTTATCACCCTCTCAACCTAAGGAGTAGGTGAAATATGCGTACACATGAGAAAGATCTTCTTAATTAGCGAGTCCGAGGTCGAACTTGGAGGGAGGTCTCTAGGTTATCTATCTTATTTTTATATAATTATGTTATTTATATAGATTAAATGATTATTATGAATCGATATCTTATAAATAAAAAATTAAAAGGGTTATAAATTTTAGGGATCTTCCTTCAAGTTTAAGTGTATATAATTATCATCGTTAATTTATAAAAGAAAATAAATAATTCATTGTTAAACTATATCAATGATACTTCATTCGTTCATTTTTATTTGTCACATTTCACTTTTCAAGAGTCAAATTATACAGATTTTGACCGACATATTAAGATATATTCTTTCATCATATTAGTATGAGAAGAATTGCAACTTATAGTATTTTTCGTATAGTTTTCAAACATCTAAATTTTAAATATTAAATTAATTCATTTCACTTTAACTCTAAAAATTAGTCAAATTAATTTTCATAATACGAAACATGAGAAATAAAAATATATACCCCATAATTCATAGAAAAATGCAGATAACTTTTTTTTTGCAGTGACCAAGTAGATCCACAAACGATGGGGAAAAAGAAAAAAAATACGTAGATCTACAAGCATTTCCCTCATTCCAATAAGTAGCAATTTACCATTCCAACGATAAAAAAGAAGAAGATATAGACAAGGACATAATCTGACTTTCTCTTCGTACCCAAAAAAAAATAAAAATACATATTACATAAATATGTTTTTTAAGCTAATATTGACGTCCTCCAATTTTAGGTACACGCATGTATTCTACGTATCATAATATACGTAGGATGTCACGTAGGACAAAAATTGCCATAAAGAATATCACATAGGACTAATGTGACTATCTGTTCAATTTTATACAAGTTAGTGTGTATGTACATTCAAAGTTAGAGGGCATAGTCTACATAGATATTAGTTGAGGCTAAATTAAAAGACACGTTAATGTATTATGAAAAAAAAAATAGTCAAACTCCTCTGTAACGCTGGTAACCGTTATCCAATTTTTCCTTAACCCCATAAAAATAATAATTAATTAAACAACTTATAGACAAAAAAAATAATATGCGAGTGTGTAAAAAGAGTCTTTATTTCACTATTTTCATGGCCCTTAGAATTAGCTTAAGCTCCTTTTGAGGCTATTTCTCAAATTCAATTCAAAAACCATAAACAAACACAAATCATGCGGAAGTGTATACTGCTTTGCTACAGAAGAATGTTTAAGCTGAACAAAAAGAGGAAAATAATCTGCAGGGTAGCAGTACTTCAGAAGTATGTGAAGTCATTTTGGAACCAAATTGTTGGTTGTTGTATAGGCTATAAGTCCATCAAATATAGAAAATTGTCACACCACCACCATTCCTCTTCCATCACCACCACCACCACCGCGACTCCCTCGCCATCTGGCAGGGCGGTCTCCGCGCCATTGGAGGATTTGGTTGCCTTGAAGATATGTGTATTGGGTGATAACCAAATTGGCAAGACAAGTTTCTTGGTTAGTCTTTTTTTTTTAGTCTGTATGCAAGTTTCAAAAGTTTTTCTTTCTTTCTTCGTGTTTCTAATGTTGCTTTTATAATGTTGATTAAAGACAAAGTATGTAGGAAAGGAGAGTACTTCAACAACAGGGTTAAATCAAATGGATAAAATTCTGTGTGTTAAAGGAGCAAGAATCTCATATACTATATGGGAAGTTCAAGGTATATGTGTTAAAATTATTTCGATAAATATTGAATTCTGAATCAATAATATGTGAATTTGACTTAAATGTTAACAATGCAGGTGATGTTTCTGCATCTACTCAGATTTCAACAGCTTGTAAAGACTCTGTAGCAATGTTATTCATGTTTGATCTAACAAGTCGACGTACACTGAAGAGGTATCATAGTTTTACATATTTATTTGAAAGAGAAATCTGTAACCATTCATCACAAGTCGATCTAAAATTGTTTTGCTGATAAAATGACAGTGTTATTAGTTGGTATCAACAAGCACGACAATGGAATCAGGTAGAAATCATCGTTTTCTTCTCTGTTTCTCTCTTGATTATGGAATGTTTCAATGGTATAGTAATTGATTAGAGTTAAATTTTTTGTTTTCAGACGGCAATTCCAGTATTGATAGGAACAAAGTTTGATGATTTCGTGCAGTTACCATTAGATGTGCAATGGACCATTGCAAATCAGGTATCATCCTCATCTTCTTATCACCTTAGGTGAAGAGAAGTTTCGCTTGATTTATAAGTCATGAGTTTGAGCCGTACTAGAATCAGGAACACAACCACTATTTATTTTTTTTACCATCCAAAACTCATAAGCTCAAAATTTTAATTCGAGTAGGGTTCAAGAGAGGTAAATTACATGGAAAAGGAATCAAAATTAATAGTCTGAGCAAATTATATCCACCATCTATTTATTGGGTACATAAATAGAGATACTTTTCCTACTGTATCTATCTTTAATTGCTCTGAAGTACTGCATATGTTTGGGCCAACCATAATTGGTTGGGTCATGAAAGGATAACTGATATTTACAGTATGTCCAATATGATTTTGAACAGGCAAGAGCATATGCAAAAGCACTGAATGCAACCCTATTTTTCTCTAGTGCAACATACAACATAAATGTGAACAAGATATTCAAGTTCATCACAGCCAAGCTATTCAATTTACCATGGACAATGGAACGTAACCTCACCATTGGAGAACCCATCATTGACTTCTAGTAAACCTGTCACTTGGACTTTGGTAAGTATTCGGATTGTTGTAAAAGAGAAGATGCACAAACATCTCAGAGAGGAGGTGTGAGAGATTTACTATGATGGGTCGTGGGTATAAGGTGAGATAAAGGTAAGCTGAAGAAGTATTAAAGGAGATGATTAAACAAGACATGACAAATCTATGGCATATCGAGAACATGACCCTGAATAAAAAGATATCGAGGTTGAGGATTAAGTTGACATATATATGTGGTTTATCGACAACATGACCCTACATAAAAGATATGGAGGTTGAGGATTAAGTTGAGAACAAAACCCTAGATAAAAAGATCGGGTTAATAAGTAGTCGAGAGCTACCTTGTTTCCTTATATGTATTGTTATTTTTATTCTCTTTGTATCTTATTCTTCGATTTTAGTATTACTTATTCCCTCTTTGACTTCAATTATCATATTATTTGTTGCTACGATTCTCTTCTTCGTTGTTTTCAGCATGACGTATTTATTATTGTATTTGCTTTACATACTTATTTTTTTATATTTTTTTCTTGAGCGGAGATGAACTATCAAAAACACCATCTCTATCTTCTCAAGATAGGGGTTAAAGTTGCATACACACCATTCTCACCAAACCTCACCTGTGTCAAAATAGTCTGTGGATATGATGTATACAAAGAAGATACAATTGCTTGTTTTGCAAATTTGTTAAGGAGTAGAGTTAACTACCTTCTAGTCAAGTCACATTTATGAATTATGAGCAATATTTGTACGTCATTTCCTATGATAAAGTTCGCATTGACCAATTCAAGATGCCGACGTAACTAAAAATGTAATAAAAACAGGAGATAAAAACTGGAGTAGAACAAAATATTATGAACTTCAGGCATGTACTCATTGAATATATAACGAGCAGGAACAAAGCATTGGTCAAAATGAACGCAACAAGAAGAGAGAATAAAGGACACAGGCAGTACACAAAATCACAAATTCTACTTTACCACTTTTGTGGCCAACTCTTATGCAATTGTACCTTTACTTCGAAATGAACAGAACAGTATAGTATCTCAAAATTCTTTCTGTATCAACATCATATTCGTGCTTATTCGGAAACAGGAAATAATATAATATAAACGTTCAATCTTCCTTGGGGGAACATTCGCCATGAACAACCTTCCGAAGTGAAGATTGCTGTCACCAAGTAGCACAACCTAGAGTGACAGGATTCATAAACAACCTCATTAAAGGTTTAGAAATTAACAAAAACAAAGCTCTACTCAAGGTGCACTTCTCTCTTGGGAGGTTCCAATTGCAAGTAGTAGAATGGCTCAGTAGGCTCTTCCCTGCACAACCATGTTGCATAGAAAGTTAGAAAGCCTCCTCTTTATCACTATAGGAACAGAAACTTACACCAACTGAAAGCATTTAAGAGAACTTTCAAATATGGCACTTCCTCCAAACAATATTTCTTCGTCTATTTTTTGTTTTTTATAGGATTCCCGCTTGTTTATTTGTTTCAATCACGAAATATTTAACATCCGGGCTATAAGGATCTGAAAACTATTTTACATACCCTTAAAGTACTCTTCAATGTTTACTGTATTTTCCCCCCAGGGCTCACCTTCTTACAATTTCTCTCTTCAAGTTTAGCCCTTTCAAATCTCCAACCCCCGAAATATTTCTTCCTTCCACACAATTCATCTTCATTAATTTCAAAGATGTCAAGACTGAAGTTCATTGCTATTTGAGTTGTTCAATCTTCAACATCTAAGCTCAGAAGGAACAACCGAGTTCATCATTTCCAAAACTTGATACTCGGGTTAGCTCCAAATTTTGTAGCCTATTTGCATTATGTATGAGTAGTCTTCAGGAGTAAGTATTTTTAGATAAAAATAACAAATTATTGGTGTTCTATAAACACTAATTGTTTAAGATGTTCAACTTTATTCCACTACCTCTTACAGATAAATCAAAAGAAAACGTAAGCCAATACATAACTTAGAGTAACAAGAGATGTCTTCATCAATCATTTTATTTGAACTGTAATATCTATTAGAAGATAGTTTGCTATAAGGCTGTGTTTGATGACATATAATGAGATAAGACTAATTATTTCAATGTCAATTATTTCACAGCTGATCTATGGAATAATAACTGAAGTCTCGAAGCTTACCCAGGCTTAGAACGCATGCACCGCCAGAATAACTTGAAAGGCCCCGGTATCGTTTTAAAAGGATTGCCTTCAAAACATGCCTGCATAATATTATAAATTAGTCAGCTGAAAAAAGAAACGACAAACAAACATAAAATGCGTTTGTTGAACATTATGCTGGGTTATACTAAAAGATATAAATTAGCCAGTGATGAACTCAGACATTCAAAAGAGTTGAGTATCTGATTCTGGAACCAGGGGCACAATGTAACCAATGAATGGATAGACTGATCTGGTAACAGGTAAAGATCGAAGGATATTCCCATCCTTGACGAGGGATATGCAAACATCTCTCCTTCCTACGAACATTATATAGAGGGAAAAATGGACAAATAGCCACTTTGCAGACCACTAAAGAACAGTAGCCACATTTTAATGCTCGATATTCGAACTACTCCGAATTTGCCTTACCATAAATTGAATCACATCATCTTTTTGACAAAGGAGATCAATATACTAAGCTTCTCGATCTATATACTACATACCACCTACTACACCAATGTAATTTGAAGACATAAAAGTGAAAAACATGGAACTTATTTTACGGACCAATATGAATCAGAATCAATATACCAGCAGTGTGTTCGAAGAGAACTATTAACTTAACAAGAAGCTAGCAATTTATTTGAGTATAAGCATCGTTATATCAGTATAGGCAGGTACTCCACAACGAAATTTCTAATACATAGTTCACCATTACAATGGAATTTCTCTTGATTTTCATTCCTTATATTGTTTGATGAAACAGAAAGAATTGTGTCAGCAGAAACAGTTTAAGTTGAAACCATAGGATGAAGGCAGCAGCAACATCAAAGTCTGTTTTAATGGCAAAACTCCAATTTCTCTTGTAAAAGATCGGACTCCATGATATTGTAGGGAGTTTCACATACAGGTAGCTAACAAATTTGGTATAGAAGTTTGAAACTCCATATCACTATGCTATTGTTTCACATAAAGGAAGTTTCTGAATCCTAGCACACAAGTTGAGGGAAGCTAGACTGAGATGGCTCGGGCATGTGAAGAGGAGGTACATGAATGGGCGAGTAAGGAGGTGTGAGAGGTTGGTTGTAACAAGAGTTAAAAGAGGTAGAAGTAGGCCGAAGAAGAACTGGGGGAAGATGATTAGACATGACCTGACACAACTTCAACTTACTGAGGACATGAGCTGAGATAGGAAGAGGTGGAGGCCAAGGCCTGAGGATTAGGCTAGAAGGTTAGTAGGTAACCGAGTGTTGTCACACTTAGGGTGGGAGAGGCAGGGGGTCAGCCTCCTCTATGCTTCTTATTAGTAGTAGTATTTAGTAATTGTGATGTTCCTCCTCTATGTTTATTATTAGCAAGAAGACTTTTGAATCTTGTAGTCTTAACTATAGATATGTTTAATGTATCATAATGCCTTTTAATCGTCTGGCCTTAAATATGCCGAGCTGAATGTTGGAACTAAAGAGTTGTCAAATTAGAAAAGATACATTCTTTGAACTCACTAAAAGGAAAATAACTCAAACAAATTGAAATCGAGGGAGTAAGAAATTTCACTGCTGGCCTCAAGAAGATGCAGAATAACACCAAAGTTCTGAAACCCTCTGAATCATCATATTCCCCATAGAGGTGGCTGAAGCCCAGAACTACTCTCCTTTTGAAACCACAAAACATATCCAGTGTCCCAGCCAAAACATCGTTACTCTTCATTTACCTGCTTGTAGACTAGTAGTGAAGCTAAATGGTTCTTAGTTGGCCTCATCTTTTAGCACATCATGTCGAGTACTGTTTAGAATCCCAAAATTGGTAAGTGTATGGATTGTAGTCTTCCCATATGATACTTGAGCTATATATTAAGGTTCAAAGTTCATTTTCTCGACATGATCAGAACTAGGTCCACCCTAATGTTGGAATACCCAAGTCATGTTACTCCTCCACCTTCAAAATCCCACATCAGCTTTTTCTCTCATTTTTAGTAAATGATAATATAGGCCGAAACAAATTTCAGAGTTCAATCTCCAGGCTTACCACACATCCAAGTTAATAATATGAGTGCTTTTAGAATCTAAAAAGGCAAACAAATTACTCCCTCGGTCCCAATTTAAGTGTCTTAGTTTGACTAGACACAGAATTTAAGAAAAATAGTTTTGAATGTTATGATCTTAAATTAAAAACGTGTGTAGTTCAATTTAAACTTAAATTGGGACGGACGAAGTACTCAATTAGACTGAAATACTAACATCCACCAGAATGGCAACAAAAATTCACGTATCAATATTGATCTAACTTATCTAAGAAATGGAACAGAAACTCAGACGCAATAATCTTGAATAAAAGTGCAGATAAAATTCTGACCTGAACAACATCCTCAACACGGTCGTTGCATCTATGGGCCTTAGGTTGTCTGTTATCACCTTCCGGCAAACCCCATGGACTCTCTCTTCTGGGCACTGGAGAACTCATCTTCCTTCTCTACTGTCTGATGTCCTTTCCCCCAATCTTGATAATACAATACTTGTGTTTTCTCCTCCCTCTTGAGTCAGGTCGAAATTGGGTCTATCAAATAGAAGGAGAAGACTTTCTAATTTTTGTTCTAAAGTAGGGGTTCAGATAAAACTGACAAACCGCATCAAATCAATAATTTAAATCAAATTGAGAAGAGAAAACATTAGTGATTTGATTTAGTTTTAGTTTGATATTAACTTTTTTTTTATCATAGTTGATTTAGTTTGATGTTAACCTAAAAGAATCAAATCAAACTGACAATATATTTATACAAATTTTATAAATATTTCATACATTCAAATGTTTATTATATTTGTAAGTATTTTCTTAAAAGTTTCATGATTCATGTTTCTTAACATATTTACTTCAATTTTCTAAAATTCCATATGCTTACATTCTTCATTTAGCTGCCACACAACATTAAGCAAATAAAGTAACTATTCAAAAAACTACTCTAGTTGTGGGAGAAAGAAAATACATTCAACATACTGACTTGGCACTTAAACTAAGAGCATGCTTGGAAGAATTTTCTTAAAAGCACTTTCGTATCTTACCAATACACTACAAAAGTGCTTAAAACTATTTTAGGCTTAAAAACACTTAAAATAAGTCGATCCAAAACAAGCTCTAAGTCCAAACGATTCACCAATTATATAACTAATCAACAACTCTAATTCTTCTTCTATTCTTTAGCTGGCTTTCGGTATGTCTAAAAGAGATTTGAGCAGACGTATTACTGGAAAACAACATTAAGAACAGTTTTCACATTAACATAATATTGTTCTTAAAAATTGCAGTCTTAATACAACGTTCCAGTTTGATCTAGATATTTTTAACTATGTTTGGTCATATATTATAACCATGCACTACAGAGAATTATTTAGTAAAGTCAATCAACTTTGTTTTGTATCAATAAAATCACCCAACTTTGAGATTTTCTTTTAAAAGATCACTCAACTAAATTTATCATTAAAAAATTAAAGAAGACTCATATCTTAAAGTTTAAAGCCAACACACCAACAATTTCATAATTGTCAAAATTATGAATCTGGAAATTCATGGTTTCTGCAATACTCTTTAAATTTATTTATTTTTGTGGAAAAACAAAAACAAATTAACTTCCGAAAATTGGTTTGCATTTTTTTGGTTTTTGGTGTTAAAAGAATCAACCTCCCATCGATTTTAATTAAAAGTATGTGTTTGTGTATAAGAACTTGATTTCTTTTTTAAAAAGAATAATTAAATAGACTATATATTATATATATTCAAATAAAAAAATATTAAATGCTAAACAGTAAAAAAATGGGAAGTGATTTTTTTCTCCATAAAACTTCCTTAGTCGTCCAGCCAAATTTTAGTTTTAATATAATTAAATCCATACGACTTCTTTAGTGGGCAGTGATTCTAATTTTATTTGCGAGGTTTATATTTACATGGCATAAGAATTAATTTATTTTATTATGTTAATATTTTCTTTAATGAAAACTTTGGTTGAGTGATTTTATAAGAAAAAAGGCTTTAGTTGAGTGATTTTACAAGAAAAAAAGCTTTAGTTGAGTGATTTTACAAGAGAAGAGTTAAGTTGAATGACTTTATTGATACAAAACAAAGTTGAATGACTTTGTAAGATAATTACTTATAGTTGAATGACATTTTGAGATATTTACTCCAATTTTTCGCTACACAAGAGGAATGACAACAAACCTATTCATCTTTATCACAAGCATCAGTTCCTTTCTATACTTCCATCTTTTAGTCCATCAAGTGTTCAATTTTCTCCTTAAATAATTGCACATCAATATGTATCTTGATACATACAGACACGGAAGCAAAAACCGCGAAACTAAGCAGATATTTCAACCCCTAAGAAGTTCAGAATTGCTGAATATTCATCTACCAAAAGTCAATTCTTATCAGCTCAAAAAAAAATATCAACTAAACTTGCAATTCCACATGTATATTAAAGTATTAATTAGGGGGAAAACGTGAAGTGCATGAAAGAATTTAAGCATACATCTTCCAAAACATGTTGAGACTTGAGACGCTGTAGTTTCACCTTTTATCATCTCCCAGTTCCTAAACTATGTCATTTTCAGTCCAAGATAGTTCTCGTAATACCATCAAGAAGTAAAAGACTACACTAATCCAAAGAATTCAATAGAAGCATCGTCAGGTTGAAGGTTTTTGGTGATATGACTCTAGACATCTGATAGACGTTGTAAATGAGATAAGTGTAATTGATTTTAGGGGGTTTTGATATTGATATCCACAAATTCACAAACCTGTATTATATTGGAGAGTGACCTTTTGTACATTGATTTAACAAAACTCAAATCATAGTCATGCTCAAAGGTCTGAGAATTGGCTAGAGTTTTTTGCATAAGGAAAGATAACAAAGTGTAATCGTCATACTTAAATAAAGTTAGGCATCTCACCTTTGATTCTATTTCTTTCTATCTTAGCTATTAGTATTGAGCATGGCAAGTAAGAGCATAATCTTTCGAACAACCTGTTGTTTAAGGGATATCATCAAACAACTTGGTTGTGAATTGTGATAAGAAACAAACCAGAACTCAGTTAACCTATTTCAATTTATCAAATTTGTACGAATTACAGTATCTATAAAATCAATCAACAGAAAATATTAAAAATTAATTCAGCACTCCGTAATGGGGAACATATGGAAAAATAAATATATCACAAAACTGACAACAACAACAAACATCAATAACAACCGAGAAAAGCTTCTTCAACCCAAAAAATCAATTTAGGTATTTCCTCGATACAAAATTTCAACGTACAACATGAAATTCGAGAAGAAGATTTGAGCAAAGGTTGAGAGGAAATCATACCTTAAATTGTAAGCAAATCTTCAAAGTCCCAAGGAGGATTGAAATACTAATACTCTTCTAGAGTGTGTGTGAAATAGAAGAGATTTGGGGTTAAGCACTTTAATAAATGATCAAAAGACGATTTTGCCCTTGGTCCTTCCTTCTTCAATATTGTGGGTTAAATATGCTCAATTTGTGCTTAACACCAAAGCCCCTTCTGCCGTTCTGCGACAGATCAACCTTCAGCGCAAGGATAATAGTGTATTTTCCAGCTCCATCGGCAAGGAATTTTATACAAGGGTAACACAAGAAAAAATGTGTATTATTAAACGCGATAAATGATAACTTTCATAATATTTATATTACATTTATATGTAAGTAACAAAATATAATGAAAGTCAGCTGGTTTAATGATTGATGATCGACTCACTAACATGTTTTAACCTTATCTATTTCAACTTATTCAATTTCAATTTAACTCATTCGTTTGACATCCTAGAGGAGCTAATAAAATTTGATAATTCCGTTACACCAAAGTGCAACTTTTTATGGGGATGAATATTTCTTTTTAAAAAGAAATATCAACTTGTAGTTTAGCAGCTTATTTGGATGGCTGCTACCTATTGTATGGTAGTGTATTACTAGTTTATAAATATCATATTTATTTTAATTGTTAACTAGATTTCATTATATTACATCATTAAATTCATCACTAAATAACAAAAAAAGATTTCATATGTATATAACATATATAAATATTCAGAAATATAACACAATATAATATAATATAATTAACCATGTGCAAGCAAAGTGGTAGGCGTTGAGAGGAAAATTGAGACAGTAGATAAAAGAAATGTTTGTGGATCTTCATTCATTCAGATCCCCTTTTCATGGAAGTGAACTAGTGGGCGACATCTCTAACAAAAACAATAATTTCCAAAATTGGCTGTAGGTGCCTGCCTCTGTTGCTGCAAAGAGACGGAGACCAAAATGGGTGCTTTTGTTAAGCTATTGGACTTGCTTCTTTTCGTTTACTTCTTGTTAATCGCCATTGTTGCACCACTCTTTGATGGCCAAGTTGCCCTTCCTAAACATATATTTCCTCCTGCGTTGGTTGACCTAAAGAGCTGGTACACTCAACAATATGGTGATTATTTGGTTTATGAGAAACCCCATTTCTTTGTTGGCTTAATCTGGTTGGAGCTCCTCTTTGCTTGGCCCCTTTCCGTCCTTAGTCTTTATGCCATTGCAGCTGGAAAATCTTGGATTAAAACTACCTCCTTGATGTATGGTGTTTCCACTCTCACTGCAATGGTAATTTAATTTGCTTATTGTTTATTTTTGGGGGGCTAATTGCAATTTGTCTTGCATGTCGAAGATTATTAGATTGTTGTGCTTGCTTCAAATTGTCTTGTTTTGGGGGTTGACGTTTCATAAATCAGTTGAATTGGATTTAATTACATGGAATTAGTAACATTATGAGGAAAGTTGAAACAGATGCATTCTGGGTGGTAGTAACTTTTTTTTGCTTTTCTTTGTTCTTCCCCCCTTCATAAGATAGGATTCATTGGAAAGCTCTAGTTTATCTGAATATAAGTTGTATTGACATCACCCCTAAGATGAAAGATTGTAACTTTTGGACCTTTTATGGTTGTTGGAAATAATTTGAGAAATTAATATGAAGGATGTAGGCTGAGCTTGAGGTTGGCGGAAATTAGAGGTAGGCCGAAGAAGAACTGGGGAAGGTTATTAGACAAGACATGATACAATTTTAGCTTCGTGAGGATATGAACCTTATAGGAAAGTGTAGAGGTTGAAAATGAGGATAAAAGATCAGGAGGTAGCGGAGTGTGGTCCCACTTTATGTGGGAGAGGTAGGGGGCTAGCCTCCTATCCTTATTAGCAGTATTAATTTTATTCTTTTGGTGGTATTAATATATGTGGCTTCATTTGCATTGTATCTTGGTTGCTTGCTGTCATATTTCCTTACAACCTTGCTTTGAAAACTTTTAGAAACAACCTCTCTATTCCACAAAGGTAGGGGTAAGGTCTGCGTTCTCCACCCTCCCCGGATCTTACTTGTGGGATGGGTATGTTGTTGTTGATGTATGCTTGGAAGTTGGAACTCTATTTTCAGCTTCTCAAGAAAAGTTGGAACTCTAATTTACCACTACAGTTTCCATTTCGATCTGCAATGTTAAGTTCATTATCTGTTTTCTTTTCTCCAGCTTGGTATCATGGTTACCTTGTTTCTCTTACTTTGGTATCTTTACGTTTACATTTTTACTGTCGGTTCTTTTCTTTTCATATATTTTTTTTTACTCTTTACATTTCTTTCAAATTTGTTCTGAAAAATGATTTTCTTGAGCCGAGGGTGTATCGGAAATAACCTCTCTACCTCACAAAGGTAGGAGTAAGGTCTGTGTATATCAAACCCTCCCAAACACCACTTGTGGGACCATATTGGGTATGTTGTTGTTTTTATCACGGCCATCTTTGCTCCAATCAAGTTAGTGTCTTTGAAAAAGGAAAAATATAGAAAATATATGCATACATCTTAGCTAGTTTTCTACTGTTTTGTATTGGACATATCCAAACCAATTGACCGTCAATCTTACTCGGGACTCATATTGTTCCTTTTTTCCATTTCTTTTCCTCCCTTTTTTGGAGGTGGGTGGGTGTGGCGAATAGCAATTAAGGAAATAAAAATGAACATTGGAAACTCAAGAGCTAAAGAAGGTAACATAATGAACATTGGAATAATTCAAGAGCAACAACCAACATGAACATAGTGCAATAGAGAAGAGTCCCAGAAGCATAAGAACAACTTGTCTAGCGCTTCTGGTTGTTGAGGAATCAGTTGTATTATAATCTTCTTTTCCAGAAATCATCATTTTACCTCCTGCCATCTTGCTGCAGATTGTATCGTCATTTGTGAGTATTAAACTGTTTCCTGATCCTCTAGAACTGACTCTTAGAGAGGCCGAGCC